AAGCAGACACGTTTCAAGACAATTGGATAACTCCAAACAAAACAATTAAACAAAAAAATTTGAAGAACCCAAATGACACAGCAGGAGTTAGCACCGACAACCAATTCCAAAGTCTGGAGCAAAACAACCAGGAAATGGAAACCGACACAGTGGTCAACCCACAAAAATTAAGTAATATTAATACCTATGCCACCCTTAAAAAACCAGGCCTAATTACAAACCAAACTATAACTCAACCAACGGAGCAAAACCCAAGGGCTGACCAACCTCAACAGATGAAAAACATAAGGCCACCACCGATCCACGCGCACGGCACAACAATAAAAAAAATTAGAAAAACGGTTCACCCTAAAAGCCATCCCTACTTCCCGCTAATTCCATTCCTGGGCGTTTAAAATTGTACTTATGACATTTTAAAGATTTTTGAGCTCAAAATATAATTCATGTGATATTTTGAGCTCACTGAGGTCAAAGAAATAATGTTTCTATGAATTTGAGCTCTCCTAGCTCAAAAGTCTTATAGAAGTTTCATAGAACTCTATTTTTGAAATTTTCAAACCGCAATAACTTTTGAATAGATCAACCAATTTTCACGTGGTTGGCGGCATTCGACGCAGTTTTATCATCCTCATAAGTTATTTCCAGGTTTTGATTGACCGAACCAAAAATTTCGGAGTAATCCCGAAAAAACACTTTTTTCGATTTTCTTTCGTTCACGATATCTCTTGAACGAGATTATTTGGTGAGACTTTCGTCTGCCTCCTTTCGAACAGGCCGTTTCCTGGGCTTAAAGAAGCTATACACGCACGTAAATAAGTGCCTGAATCTCACCAAAACAAAAACACCGTCAAATCTCCGAGCAAGGAAAAACCCTGCCCTCCAGCTTTTACGCTATCACTAGACAGATGTAAATTGAGTTGAATTTAATGTCAATCTGTCCTCGTACTCAGTCAACTGTTTCAACCCCATTCAACGACTACGTTGGCCTGATGACGCTGCGTCGAGTCGCCACATATCCGGGCCAACATCTATGCCTAGTGTTACATCCCAGAATTTCGGGGTTATAAAAAGAATTAAATTTTCCAGGTGGGTGGAGTTAGGTGATCGATAGATCCCTGGAACACCCGTCACAAATAAGCTTTTTCGTAATTTCGTTAATTATTGGTTAAAAGACCTTACCTTTGAGGTCCCCATAATTCTCCCTATATTATACCCTTCCTTAATCCCGTTCGACATTGGTCCAATAGGCTGGCCGCCCTCGATCCTGAACCCTCTGTGCGATTGGACTTCCTGGCGACGACGACGGTGAAGCGGGCGAATCCTCGAGGAGGTTGATACTGGCTGGTGATTTGATAACGGTCACTGCAGAACTGTCACTCACAGATTCACTCACCAATCGCGGAACACCTTCCAAAACTGAATGATTGGAGAACCTTCCCGGACCAAACGACCTGAACTTTTGAACGTCTTCCCCGGGGCCTAAATTCGATTGGTTAAGAGGAAGGAGAGTACTGCTTAAAGGTGGAATAGCTTAAAAGCGCTCACCCCTATGGGACAAATAATGTGGAACGAACGTAGAGTTCGGTTATAATAGGTTTATTCAAAATTTAGAGGGAGAGCCCTGGTCAGCTGAGCAGCGTTCTGTGCTCAAAGAAATCTCGCGGATTACTGACTGGATGCTCTCGTTAATCAGTTTTTATAAATTAGCATCAGCCATCTTTGATCTCAGGTTGCAGCCAGGGAACGACGCTGAGGCCCGGGTCCCATGCTGACGCATATGTTTTGTCTAGCCCGGGCTGCAGCGTCGCCTCAGAGAGTCTTATCTCGTAAGATTTCCGTTGCCTCGCTGGTGATAACCACCTGCGAAGCAATGGAATTTTTATTGCATTTGATTTCATGGAATAATAATTTAATTCCAAAATAAAATTAATTAAATTTTAAAGTTAAATTTTCTGGGACGTAACACAATACATATTAGCTATTTCAGTTATTTATGATTTAGCTATTCTTTCTTAATAAAAGTATGATTATTAATTTCTACTGTACCAACAATCAATCGATAAAAATTGAAATCAAAATGTATTTGCCTAACATTGTATGGAATAATACTGTTGAATAATTGTATAGAATATTAGTATTTAGTAACTTTCTACTTTTATTCTAATGATTCCTCTGAATTTAGTTAGCAACCGAATTTGTTATTACAATTTATTTATTTTGACAGTTATTATAGCAACGGTAACCATGGTAACGGATACATGGTAACGGTAACCATGGCAACGGTAACGATGGCAACGGTAACCGTGGCAACTGTAAAATAGCGTCGGTGGTTGTGGGGGGGGGGGGTAGAGTGGTGTTGAGTTCTATAATTGATGGGTGCCACTGATGGTTTCTTAAATTGGAGAATCAGAATGATATTTTTCCCCAAAAAAAAGAGAAAGAGAGATAGGGAAGGGGGGAAAAGGCACAGGAGATAGGGTACGGGTCGGGAGGGGAAGAATGAGAGGGAGGGGAGGGGGTAGCATACGTGATGGTTGACGAAAAATCCATTTTTGCTAGGAATAGCGCAAAATTCCATATTATCTCTCGTCTACGGTGAAAAAGGAGTACCTATGCCAGATTTTAAATGAATCGGTCCAATAGTTTCGGAGATCTAGTGATGAATCAGTGGTATTTCGCTTATATGTATATAGAAGAGAAGATTAGGGTGGTCGTTAAAAATTAAATTATTTCCGGGGCCCAAAAAAATATTTCCTTTTGACGAAAAACTACGGAAAAAATTTTGCTTTTTGATCTTAAACAAAAAGAACACGTGCCGACGGTCAATTGAAGTTTATTTTCCGATAAAATTATAATTTTTTGAAATATTTGTCACAGTACTTGAATTTGGACAAAAAATCATGAAAACAGGCTTGTAGGAAATTAAATTCTTTAGAAAACGGCTCCTTTCGGTTTTAGATGGAGTTCATATCCATCGAGATAATCTTATCAGTAAACTTATAAACTCTATTAAGTCGGTCATTTTAGCATTAGAAACTTTATTTTTCCGGAAATATCAAAAATTTCATCTCACTTATTTTATAAACTCACATTAAGAAGGTCTTTCCCAATTCCTTTTTCAATCATTTGCTCCCAATCATCCTGTTACATGAATGTGGAACGCTTCACGTAATAATAACCGTAACTCCTACTCTTTTCCGATTCACAGCATTATTCAATTTTAAGGATGTGGACCGTAAGATGGACAGTGTAGCGTAATGTATATAGAATAAGTGAAAAGGAAATTCGGTATAGACAGGGTAGCTCAAATGGTAGAGTAGCCGACATGTCTTCGTAAAGTTCTGGGTTCAAATCCGACTTCGAACTATCCAAATTTTTCCTCGCATATTCTATAAACTCACATTAAGAAGGTCCTTTTTAACTCTGTCACAGGGTTTTTATTCCCTGTGCGCGCCCTTCCCTGCGCCTAAAATTTGGCAACAGATCCACATTCGGTGTGTCTGAATTTTATTATTTCGTATCTATTTATTAATTTGTTTATTGAATTTATTATTATTATTATTATTATTATTATTATTATTATTATTATTATTATTATGTTTTTAAATGCTCAGGGGGGTTGTCCCCGGAGTCCGACTCTCCGAGGGCCCAGCCTGAGCTCCATCCATTACTGCTGGACCACTCCGCACAACAAGGCGGTTAGTGATCACAGCAGGCCAAAGTCATTTTCCTAAGTAGACGGAGGGAACCTAGTATCACAGCCTTCTGCATCCTGACTGCCAAGAACTCAGCTTTTGATGAGCAAGCTGGAACTCTGGCAAGTGAGGATACAAAAGACTGTTTCATCCCTCCAAGGACGCCAACAATCAGAACGACAAGCTTGACACGGTAACCTGGGTAAAGTTTGCCAATTTCAAACAGGACATCCTGATATATTTGTCTTTTGTACTCTTCTTTGGCTGAGATGTTGTATTCAGCCCGGGCCGCAAACTATATGACATAAATGTCACGAGTAGCCTTATCGAAGAGCACAATATCAGGTTTGTAGTGATCTATCCGCCGGGTTGTTGCAAATGGCATCTTCCAATAGATTTTGCAACTGTCATTCTCAACAACCCGGGGAATATCTCCTGGCAGATAAGGCAGCACTAGTGTCACGTCAATACCGTAGCAATGACAAAGATAATAGTACAGTACTCTCAGGGCAGCATTATGACGCTGGACATATGCCTTCACTGTTTACATCGTCCAAAAATCTGAATATTTGTTGACTTACGCAGGCGCCTTGCGTAGTCTCAATACATTCTGTACTGTGCAAGTTAACCTACAAATAATATAAATTTAGTCATTAAGTCTGTTGTGAATGATATATTTATATTAATGTCATTATTTATAGAGTGAACAAAATCAAAAATACTTATTTTACTAAGTAAACAAAGTGATCACCTTTATTTCTAATATTTTTACTTTCTTACATCATGGACACTGGAACATGATGTCTTGATTTCAATTAATTTATCAGTTTCTAGCAGTTTGTAGCCCATTATTATTTATAAATTAAAAAAATTTTTTATAATCCAACACTTAAAAAAATTTCAAACCCTGGGACTTTGAAATTTTTTTAAGGTGTAAACAGGGAATAAGTCATACACTGGAACATGGTGTCTTAATGTCAATAAATTTATCAGTTTCTGGCAGTTTGTAGCCCATTGTTATCGATTAATTAAAAAAAATTTTTTAATTCAACACTTAGAAAAATTTCAAACCCTAGGACTTTGAAATTTTTTGACGATGTAAACCTGGCATATGTCATACACTAGAACATGGTCCCTTAATTTTAATAAATTTATCAGTTTCTGGCAGTTTGTAGCCCATTGTTATCGATAAATTAAAAAAAATTTTCAATTCAACACTTAGAAAAATTTCAAACTCGGGGACTTTAAAAAAATTTTCGGTGTATACGCGGCGTATACTTAGGATGAATTCGACACGTATACACTATGTATACTTGGTGTATACTGAGCATAAACCGATCCGCTAGGGTTTGCACTCACAGGCTCAGGCGGAACGCTCAGGAGGAACACAAAAGCGGAACGGTCTGTCGGAACGCGACATTTTTTCGTGAGCACTGTTGGTGTTCATCAATTTATAAGACGTTATCACGTCAAAAATAGTGGAATCAGCAACAGCCAACCAGGTAACAAACACCGAATTCACTCTCAAACAATCTAATCAAAATACCATAACCATAACAACTCATAACCTTGAAATATTTGAAAAAATGAAAAAAATTATTAAAAGCATTCCTGATTGTCAATCATATACATACACTCCAAAACAGCTTAGACCAAAAAACTTAGTGCTCAAAGGAATTTATGGGGGGTATGACGAAAACGATGTTAAAGTAGCACTCCTAGCCCAAAACTTTGAACAAGCTACTATCACCAAAGTGACAAAAATAACCTACAATAAACAAAATGATAACAGCTACTTCTTCATAGTACAAGTTACCAGCAACAGCCTAACAGTTGAACTCACACGAATAAAACAACTACTATCACAAAAAATAAGATGGCAAAGACCCCGAAAACGAGGACCATTCCAATGCCACAACTGCCAAAGATTTGGCCACACCAGCCAAAACTGCAGCTGTAAACCGAGATGCGTGAAATGCGGAGAAGCCCACCTGCCCAAAGACTGTATTATCACCAAGGATATGCCTAAAGACAGCATAAAATGTGCAAACTGCAACCAAACAGGACACCCAGCCAACTACAAAGGTTGAATTTATTATAAAAACGCAACCTTGTTACACAACAAAAACTCAGCCTCCAAAAATAACAACTTAAGAAAGCCATCCAGAATGACAAATCCTCAGAATACATATGCCAACATGGCATCAAACCTTCATGATAACTACCAGGACACCTATCGAAACGACCACCAAGCAAACTACCAAGATGACTACCAAACCAATTATCCGCCTCTTCGGAATGTTCAACAAACAGGTACACCTCATCAAGGAAACTTCAACCTACAAAACTGGCTTGAAGGCTTCAAGTCAGAAATAATGAACATGGTCCACAATCAGCTCAACCAACTAACCAAGCAGGTAGCAGCCAACACTGCTCACATCAACGAAATCTTTCAATGCTGGGAGTAATACCTCCCTCCACCAACGAAAAAAAGATAAGTAGTGAAATAATTACACACACCAACTCACTAAAAATAGTAGCAATTAATGTAAATTCTATCATTCACAACAGAAAAAGATATGAACTCCAAAAACTACTTGACATCCAGGAGTATGATCTAATATTAGTCTCCGAAACCAAGCTGAACCCTAACCACACTCTCGAATTCCAAAACTACGACGTCATAAGAACCGATCGACCAGGAGCAATCCAAGGCGGAGGTACAGCCATCATAATAAAACGAGACCTCAACTCCGAAAAAATTCACTTTCCCAGCTCAGCTGCTAACTCTATACTGGAATTCACATTAGTGAAATTCCAACTCAAAAACAATTCTAAACTATATATAATCAGCGCCTACGCTACTAATGATAATAAAAGATTATTCTTGGACGAACTCAATACCCTTCTGGACGGAATTGGAGCCACAGATCCAAAAAACTATTACGTGATAGCTGGCGACCTCAATATCCGCAATAAAGATTGGGGCGACGAAAAAAACAACCAACGAGGCTTAATATTTAAAAAATGGATTGAGCAAGACTCAATAAACTACAAAGCTACCATTTACCCACCAGCATACCCCACCTTCAAACAAAGTAATTCCTACCTGGACATAAGCATAGCAGACTCAAGAATCAACGTATCCACCATCAAGAACAATAAGCTTAAATGCCTGGAGTACGACAGTGATCACAATGCGATCTCAATGGAAATAAGCATTGAAGCAGACTCTTTAGATAACCTAATCAATGAAACATCACAACATAGACATAGATTCAAATCAACAAAATGGAAAAAGTTCACAAAAGATCTTGAAAAGCGTTATACAACAACAGTACCGCCTAACCAAACACTTACAATCGACGAAATCGAAAATCATCTACACATTATTGAAAATTCGATCAAAAAATCTATAGATCAGACAGTACCAAAAATCAAACCACAAGACAAAGTCTATAACTATGTAAATTCCAAAATAAAAAAATTACAGAAAGATTAATCTAAGCTACTCACAACATACCACAAGCAAGTCAAAACTAATCCAAATTCAAAAGAAGTACGAGACACTACAGCTGCAATTAAGACCCTGAAGGATGAAATCCACAAAGAATTTGTGAAATCAGCGACGAGCTACTGGACCGGTCTACTGAAACAAATCGATCACCGTAAAGCCCATTTTTTCTTTTCGAAGATCAATAGAATGCTAAGACCCAAAAAAAAAAATTAGCATCGCGGACATCAAGCTAAAACCAAACGACTCTTTAATCGTAAACCACAAATGCATCACAAACAGAGCCTCGCTAAAAAATAACCAACTAACCATCTCAGGTCCCGTAGATAAACTCGATATAATTGGTAATCACTTCGAACGCATAAATTCACCTAGATACCTAAACGATGGCACAGCCACACGAGAAATAGTAGACTCCATGGCAGAAATCATCAAACAGGAAGCCTACAACTTCAAAACCCACAATGGTTCTCACACCACAATCAACGACGAAAACCTGGCATCGAATCCAGGAAACCCTGATTCGGAAGGAATTAATCTTTTCTGTACGCCATACGAAGTTGAAAACATTCTAAAAAAGCTACCAAATAAAGTCTCCAGCGGCCTAGACAACATACCTCCTATTATATTGAAACACCTACCTCAGTCAATCATCAAAAGCTATAGAGTCATTTGGGGTAAATGTGCGCAGTGGGTAAGCGTGCGCAAACCCATTCATTTGAGTCCCAAATACATGGGATTGCGCACTCTTACCCACTGCGCACATTTACCCCAAATGACTCTACCATTCTATTCAACAATGCCTTGAATAGACACTACTTCCCAACCAGTTGGAAACGAGCCAAGGTACTTCCTATTTATAAAAAAGGGAAAAATCCCAGCGATCCAGCCAGCTATCGCCCGATAAGCTTGACGCCCAGCATCTGCAAAGTTTTTGAAATTATATTAAACAAACGCATCATCAACGAATGCACAGACAATAAAGTAATCCCGGACAACCAGTTCGGATTTCGACACAGGCACTCAACAACTCATGCCATCAACAAACTAGCTTCTGATATCGCTAACAACCTAAGACTCACGCATCACACACCAGCACTGATGATTGACCTGGAAAAAGCCTTTGACTCGGGATGGATAAACGGCTTACTATTCAAATGTACCCAGTATAACTTCAGCAAATGGCTAATATTCATGATTCTTGAATCAATCACCGAAAAATCGTTCATAACCTGGGATGGAACTAATATCTCGTCATTTATCTTTGCCATACTCGAAGGATTTCAACAAGGCACACTCAATTAACCCATCTACTTCATAATCCTGACAGCGAAAATAATTTCAACATTAAACCAGACTGTTGGAAATTTGCTAACCATCAGAAACGTACCTAACAAGCCAAAGACTTTTAAAACGAGCTGTAACGAAGAACTAGCTAGCAAGGGCTTTCTCCACGGTCCGCGCATTTTCCGGTACCTAATTTTCGAACTTTACTGAGTCTCTCTCATTGGTTGAAACGTCCCCTCCACAGTCACCTCGAACGAGCCATCTCATTGGCGCTCACTTTATTCCTCCACTACCCGCAACGACAGTATATCAGTAGCAGCGCAGCGGGCCTGAAAAGCATTCGTTCAAGTACCTTCAACGTCTACAGTTCCAGCGAAGCAGTGGCAACTCAACTACCAGCGTGCAAGGCTAGCAACAAATAGTGAACTACGGATAAGTAAGCGAGCAAGGCTTACTTACTCCCAACCAACAAGCCACTTCAACTATTACGGACCATCTCAGCAGTACGGACCATCTCAAGGACCTTTTCGACAACGGAGTCAACTGTAAGCGCGCAAGGCTTATCCAGTTATTATAGTCTCAACAACAAGCGTGCAAGGCTTGTTATAACAAGCCAGTCTACTAACTTAACAGTTCTTCTCAGAGCTTGAAAACCAAACAGTTCTTCTCAGAACTAAACAACTAGCTCTCTTTTAAGAGCGAGTGACTTTGAGTCACCGCCTAGCCATCTTTGGGCTATTGCTGTCATCTCGACAGACATCAGCACTTCTCAGAGACAATCTCAACCAAAGGCCTTTCTCAAGGCCACCAATCGAATCAAGTCACGTAAGAGCTCATTTCAAGGCTAAGGAAAACTCCAGTACAAAGAGTCCTCTCGAGTAGGCATTAACACAGACACTGGAACAAATTCCCTATGCAACCAAATCCATAGCATTCGCAGATGATGCAATAATTTATCTCTCAGGAACATCAGTGCCCACTCTGCAAAAAAAACTCCAAACAGCAGCCGACGACCTTATCTTCAACTATTCTTTAAAATGGAACCTTCGAGTAAACCCAAGTAAGTGTGAAGTAATACTATTCCGACGTACCTTTGAACACCTATCAGCACCTAAAAAAAAAAGGCTTAAAAGACTTCCAAATAACGATGAAACAATCAGGAACTGGCAAAGCAGTAACAGTACCAAGGAAAACAACAGTTCGATACCTCGGCGTACACTTAGATTACACCCTCAAAAATAAAGACCACCTGGACACTCAACTCAAAGCAGCCTCAAACGCCTTCAAATCCAACAGTAGAATTTTTTATAGCAAATATCTCTCAGTGAAAGCCAAAATCATCTGCTACCAGCTCCTAGTGCGACCCATACTCACCTACGCCGCACCAATATGGTGGAACTCCAATCCTACCACAATGGAAAAGCTTAGAGCTTTCGAGAGACGATGTTTAAGAGCCTGCACGGGACTATACAGGGCAAGTAAATCAAACTACCAAAAATTCGTCAGTAATGAAAAGCTCTACGAAGCTGCAGATATACCCAGAATCGATAATTTTATTATCAAACTCGTCCGCGATTATTTCGCAAAGCTTCCAGAGATCAACAACGAAATAATAAACAATTTAGCGAAAATAAAAGAAGACCAAATCGAACACGGAAATAAGTCTGGATGCACTCCACCCGACGCTTTCATATACTACGACTCCAAAGGATT